TTAATCTTGCATCGAAATTTTGCGCGCTTGCGTGGGAGAACACGTTGCAGGAAGCAAGCTGGTATGCGACTATTGTTCCGCATCTCAGCTTCTTCTCTAAGAAACTAAAGTATAATTAGCTTCTGTGAATTCTGTGCCGGCGCGATTCAAATTAAGTTTTGCATTAGAGCTGAGCCAATTTTATAAGCCATCTTTGTCTTCCATAAAATTTCGTTACCTGATACTTCGTATGGCGCTTGCAAACCGATTCTATAATACTATAAAATGTGAGAGGACTTGCCCAAAAAGACTTACTTCCCATCTGGCATCTTCTACACTCAATACCTCACTTCCCACGCGGATAGAAAGACCGCTGCCAAAGTATTGTAGAGGGGAATCCGTCAGCGTTAACGTTTTTCCATTTGCAAGACTTATCTGAAAGAAGATATTATACACATAATTTGGAAGTAAGCATCAAATATACCTTCCCGGAAACTGTGAGAGGAGTGGCGTCATGTGTTAACGAATATTCTAGTTCCTCCGCATTTGCAAATGTACCTGATGTGACTGTTAGTACAGTTGCCTCAAGAACTTGCGATACCATTGCAACAGCTGGCATCGTCACGTCTATATAGGTTAATTGATTCTAGTATCATACTCGGCAAATTTGCAAACCTTCAAAATTGACGCTTGCTCCTAGTAATCCATTCCCAAATGGTTGCAATATTAAGCGAGGCCAGTTTCCGTTCATTGCACTTTCCCTTGCTATATCTGCAATCAAACCTTTCGCCATTAGGATGATCGAAAGTAATGGGATTAGAGGAAATGGCCAGAACACAAAATGTATTACTTCAACAGGCTGCATCATGTTGGATGCAGTATAGAAGGCTGATTTCAAATCTCCTTTTTTCATCTGCAGTGCCACTACACACGAAATTATGAGCCGTCATATTGCGAAGAAATCGTACTGATAAATCTTTCTTCCTCTTTCTCTTTCTTAGTTACGGAGGTTCTATTCACTTCTACCGTCGCCTGGTAACTGCCAGGGTACTAGCGTATAAGATAGATTTCCACTATTTTGTGTCCAGGAGATCACCTCTCATTTTCAAAGCCATTTAGCCTCCTTTAAACTCAGTAAAAAAATT